TAATAGTCCCCTCTGGCCTACAAAACCTGTGACGCTGTGAATTTTTAATCTCTCCTTGAAAAGATAAACTTAGACGCAATGCTAGGCATTCTTCACGTCGCCTTCTCCCCAAACAGATATCTGCACCCTGTCTCCTGTGCGTTGTAAGCAATGCTGGTACTCACCAGATTTGGGGTTGCAGAGCACAGGGGGACTGCTGCTGAGCGTTGGGCTACTGCTGAAGTACCCGCTGCTGCCACAGCTACTCATACTGCTCCTCCGTACTGCCGACACGATCTTTATCTCCTTGGTGGGACTTACTACAGAGAGAAAATACAGAGAGAAAGGGAACCGGTATCAATTATTAAACCCATTGCCCTGGTTTCTTTAAAACAATAGCAATAAGCCACACTTTCGCTGACAACACTGGGAAGGGGTTAGTGTGTTTTACATAGTTAGAAGAGTCACCGCATGAGTATGATATACTCATTATACTGTAGCTAACACGATGGCTGAACTGCTCCCATTGCAGTGTCTTCTAGGAAGTATTTCAATATAAGGAAATAATGTTTTCCATTTTTCCTTCTGCTTCCCATTTATTCCTTCGGTTCTTGCTAGATATTGCTGTACAGCAAACGATGCAGGACCCCTTCCCCTCATTTTTACTCTTCTTGAAAACTCCACATAGAATATGTAACTAACTACTTTGGGCTTGGAGGGATTTTAACCAGTTCTGTTTGTTCATGGACACTGATTTTTGATCAGCATCTCACATGCTATTGATACAGATGCAAAACCACACCAGGGAGCTAAAGATCTGGTAAATCAAGTGAATGGACAATCCCTCTGAACAGGGATACACGATAGCCTGCCCTGCTTTTTTCAGATAAACACTGAAACCGCTTGGCCAAAAAAGGATAGTTTAACATCCCATGGAGTCGCCCTACAGACAGCCGTATAGTTGATGAGTCACCTGAGAGAAAACTGGTGTGTTTTCTGTTGTCATGGTTCTGCTTGCGCAGGCAAAACGGGCTGTCATGGCTTTCTGGCATCAAGCGAGATTTCTCAGTGAGGAGCTCCATTAATCGCCGCCGCCGGCGGAAATTCATTCTGCACTGGTAGAGCAAGTTGCTGTCCATAAAATGGTGCTTGCTGGACACTGGAAAAAGAAATGGATAGAAAGTCTGTGCCTGGTAGGACTGAAATCAGAGCATACCTATGTGCAATGTGTGCACTGCACACCTTGGTGTAAGGAAGTAACACCCGGAGGTCTCCCCTCTGCAAACTCAGAAAAAGGAGGAAGGTGGTCAGCTTCACGTGGGTAGCTTCAATGTACATGCTTTTATAGCATGGATAACAAAGTAGGAACTTCAGTGGTCAGTGCTGAGAGGAATCTTTTACAGTACCTTGATTAATGACAAGCACTTCTTATTGTCAAGTGGAAATGGAAGTACTTTATCTTTCCGTGACAGGTTGCATAATGGTCCATCTCCACGCGTGCTCCCTCTGTATGCCGTTTCGTGCTGCCAGTCACTACAGACCAGACTTAGCTCCTTACATCGAGTTTTTTGTAAATTCATCAGTCTAGGGCAGCCCCTGGGAGCTCTGACTTGACTACCTCATTTGGAGCTACAGGGCAGCAGAGAATTGAGACCTGTGTATTTCCTCTGTCTTGTTCACCACAGACACCATGTCCCAGACACTTCCTGCAGGCCACTTCCTCCCCTTCACACGGATACGCAAGGTTTGGGAACAGGCACCCGGCCAAAAATCCTTTCTTACATAATGAACAGAAGTCTTAATTATAACCTGTTTTGACACTGAGAGCAAATCCCAGGTTGCTGGTGTCAGAGCAAGAGCACTGAGCCTACCTGCAGACTGCAGCATCGCCATAATATCTGCGTGTTTGCTGCCACTGATGCTGCATCTTAATAGCGATGAAAAATGCAGCAGTTGGAAGAAGCTCTGTGCCAGGTCCCGAAAGTGTTCTGACTCCTTCAGGGCTTGATCGCAGAAAAGCCCTCTGGAGTACTCCCTGCATTAGTACTGCAGCATCTTAAATAGCTGCAGTGGAAGTTTTGGCTGTGTTTTCTCCATCTTTACATAGCTCCTGTGATCACGTTCCACAGAAATGATTTCCCACAACTGACCTTTTCCATGAAGGATCTAGATTCTGGATTTACCTAGTTTATAAATTGCATTTCTTCCAATATTGAATCATAAGAACTGGTGGGTTATAGATATTTATATGTAGAGTATAAACAACAACATAGATATGCACTCATACATCAGCCAAGTCTAGTGCTTCATTTGACCTCAACCTCCTACCACAGACACCGAACTTTTGCCTTGCTCTTGGCTCTGCCCGGCACGTGGGGTCCAAAAGCAGCAGAACCCAAGGCACTACACCAGATCCAGAGCCTGGAGCCCTGCTGGCTGCCTCTCCCTTCATCCTCATCCCCAACACACCCTTTCTTGCTTTCATCCTTTCTTAACACCTCTGTGTGTCTCAGATTGCTCTCCGTGAGCCCCACAGAAGTACGCCACATATATGATAGCCTTGCAAAAAAAGCTGTATTTAGGCATAAACTTTCAGTATGTCATTTGACGCTTGTGAGCTGCAGGAATATCCTCAAAGAGGAAAAAGCCCAGTCACCTTCTCCAGCAGCTGGTGGTCTCAGGGAGAATATTCATGCCAGGGATGTCAAGTCATCCAGACAATAAAGAAGACGCCAGTCCTAGCCATGGTCCTTGGGGCACAGCCCTCCATCGGATACAGAAACTGCCATATGGGATGAGACCATATGTCTGTCCTGCAAAGAAGCATGTCTCTTGCCTGCCTGGCCCACTGTCAGAGAGGGGACACTGTCTGTACAAACGGACTTTCGCCTTTGGAACGCAAGGAATAATCAGGACACGGGAGCCTTCTGAACTGCACACGCTTGTGCTCGAGCTGCCATGCAGACTGTCTGCCCCAGAGTCCCGCAGCATGGCATAGGGTATAGGGCATTTCTTAGAGTTTTGAAAAAAGGAAGAGTTTTGAAACTCTACCCTTTTCCATGAATAAAGCAGAAAGCTCATGCCAGTCAGCCAAACCGTGATGTTTCAGTACCATCTACACAAAAGACCCCTGTTACC